TGAAAACCCTCTGAGTCAGAGCTCTACTGGGACCACAGGGGAGGGAGGTGAAGAAGAGACTGGAAGAAAGCTGTAAAAAGGAAAGTCAAGATGAATAGGAACTTGTAAAAAAAATTCCTCATTGAAAAGGAAAGTAGGGTGGCACATATGCTCTGTAGAATACTATTCAGCTATTAAGAACAACACAACCCTGGCTTTTGACAGAAAGTGGAAGAATATGGAAGATTTACTGCTGAGTGAAGCAAACCAGACTATGAGAGAGACACTGTATGTCCCCACTTAATATATACCGAATGTCTGCACTCTATAACTGAAACTCACGGGCTAAAGGATGTACAAACACAAGAGGTGGATGTGAATGCCAGAGGAGGAGTGGGGGCTGGGGAAGAACATTTGGAGGAGGGATACAAAGACAGCATTGTTGAGACGGGGAGGTAGTGTTGTTATATTTTGATCAACTCAACCGGAAGAAATATTCATATATTGAAATGATCACCTTGTAAGCTAAATAATGTGACTGAATGTATTTTTAAAAATGTAAATAAAGAGAGAGAAAGAAAGAAAGAAAGAAAAAAAGAAAGAAAGAAAGAGAGAAAGAAAGAAAGAAAAAAGAAAGAAAAGGAAAGTAGGTAACTGAATGGTCAGAGAGTGAAATAGGTTTTAAGACTGAAGCTGACTTGGTGGCCTGGTGGTTAAGGGAGCCAGATCCCACATGGCTGACTACACAATTCGAGTCTCTGACCTGAAGGTTTGAAAAACATGCTTGGCATTTGTGCATGTGTGCCCAAAATCCCCAAAAGAAGGAGAAATAGAAAAGAGATTGCGGTATGACCATCCCTCACTGGGGGATGCTTCCTCCTCTCCATCTCTCTATCTCTCTGTCTCTCTCTGGTGAGTGCACATGCTCTTTAAGACCAAGGAAAAATAGGGGTTCCCAAAACAAATAATCATCTGACTTGGATCACTGGAGGGTCCCTCCCCTTGCCACATGATTGACTTGTGAATATTTGAGTGACACAGGACATGCTAAAGGACTTGGGCCTTGATCCCTGAAAACTAAGGGTTTTGTTGTTGTTTTTTTTTTCCCTCTGATATATTGCTTTCAATCATATTTTTAACATTAGTCCCAAAGAGGCGGTGATAGGAAATTTGATTAATGACTAGCAAAAGGGTATTGCAGGCACACGAAGTGGTAGGGGAAAGTCCTGCCTAATTTGACAACTGTATGCAACAGCTGCCAGTCACTATGTGTCCCCACCCTTTCTCAAGGAAGGCAGATGTCTGTCATATAGGACAAGGCAGGAAGAGGACTACCAAGGTCCTTCAGGGAAACAGAATCCACCCCTGTGGAATAGGGAATTGCTCCAGTGCAAGAAAACCCAAATATCTGCAGGGAGAGTGAATGAAGCTGGGACAAAGGGAGGTAGTTGGGGTTCTCAACCCCGGCTTGAAGGAAGAAGGGGAAGAACCAAGACTTGAATCCCCAAGGAGGGGCACTGCCCTTCCAGGGCTGGTAACTCTCAGGGGCACATGGAGCCACAGGCTGGAGCCAGCCGCCCCGCCCCACAAAGCTGTTGTTGCTGGAAACCCCTCTCCAGCTCCAGCCTCCCTCCAGCGCCCCTACTGCAGGACCTTGCGGGAAGCGTCTAAACAGAGAACTGATGTTGCATGGCCCCAGCCCCTTCATGGGAGCGGTGAGCCAAGGGTGTGTTTAAAGATGAGAGGTAAGGGCCCAGCAGGTGGCATGGTGGTTAAGGGGACTGAACTCTCACATGGCCGACCACAGTTCAAATCCCAGACCTGGTGGCTCACCTTCTCACTTTCTCTTTCTCTTACTCTGTCAGGTGGCATGGCGGTTAAGGCGCTGGATTCCCAATCATGGTTTGAGTCCTGGACCCAGCAGCTTGAAAATCACAACAAATAAATAGATAAATAAATAAATGTTTCATTAAAAAAAGAAAAGAAGAAAAAGATAATGTCAGTGAAGAGCTGAAGAGCCAGCACAGGGCGCAAAGAGAGTTTCATACACATTAATGTTAGAGTCCATAAAAGGTAAAGGTCATGAACGTACCAGAAGATGCTCGAAGATAAGACTAGGCTATGTCTTTGGATCCATGGCCCCTGCTCCTGTTAGCAGCAGCCCAAGCAGTGGCTTACTTTTCACCTCATGCAGCCACAGGGACATGCTGCAGTGGAGCTGCTCCTCAAAGTATTTCCAAGGCTCCAAGGAGAGTGAGTTCCAGAGCTGCATTATTGCTCTGACCCCAGATGAGAACTAGAAATGCAGAGGCTGAGTTGCAGTCTGGACTCCACCAATGGAAGTTTCCCGAGCCCTGCTTTCCTTCGTTTCTCTCATCAGTTATGGAAGGTTAGCAGGAGACTTAGTTCAGTTACTGCGGGAACAGGGCAGAACACATCACGTCATAATCCCTCGGTCCCTGTTAACATTTAACATTACTATTTTTATTGTTATCTGCATTGCCTGCTTTATCACTTCCAAGCAAATTGTTTATGTTGCTTATATTTAGATGTGTTGTATAGTTTGCGATCAGTTCTCTTTATTGTTGTTTACTTATCGTAGCAGCAACTCCTGGGGCTGTTCCTGTGGCTTTTCTTTTGAGCTCACTTAAGCTTGCTGAAAAATTACACAGAACCGGATTTTGTTTTTCCTGATAGATTTTTGCTATAGGGCACATGTGATTTCCAGAGAAAGAGAGACAGAGACAGAGAGGAAGTGAGAAATCACACCCCGGGGGATGGCCATACCACAGTCCCTTCTCCTCTATTCTCCTTTCAGGATTTGGGCACGCACACACATGTGCCCCACGTCAGTTTCAAGTCACTGGGTCTAGGACTTGAACCACAATCAGCCATGTGGGAATCCAGCACCTTAACCACCATACCAACTGCTGGCTCCTCAGAACCCAGATTCTTAGCCAAGAAAGGAAAGTTCGGATGATTTAGCCCAGCAGCCTTAGTCCTCAAATTTGGGTTCAGAAAGCCCTGCTCGTATCATTTTTAGGGACAGAGTATCTCCCTGTGTCCGTCACTCTCTTCTTTTACACACACTTTTTCTCCACCCCTATCCTTCAACTCCTTAGCATCAACTCTTTGGGCCAAGGAATGACTAAAATCTCTTAGAAACAGGAGAAGTTCTAATTAGGTCTTTTTGTTTGTTTTTGTTTGTTTTTGTTTTTGTCTTTGCAATAGGGTGTGTGCACATTCCAGGAGAGAGGCTGTGAGAGAGAAAGTGAGAAAAAACATCCCCCGCCCCAGAAGATTGTCACATTGCAATCCCTTCTCCTCCATTCTTCTCCTGGGAGTTTGGGCACACATACACACACACTCACCCAGAATGAGTTTGAAGCTGCCAGATCCGGGAATTGAACCATGCTTGGCCACGTGGGAATCCAGCACTTTTTCCACCACACCACCTGCTGGCCCCATATTCAGGTCTTAATATCCTTTCATTATTATAACTTCCCTAAGTTATAGTATCAGATCCTGCTTTTCCATAAGAAATGGATGTTTACAGCTTATTATTTTTGAACCAGAAAACTCTTTTATTTTATTATTATTTTTTAATGTTATTGTGAAGGCAGAAACTGCAAAAAATCTCAGCATGTACTTTGGGAGCTCTAAGAGAGACTTTATGTTTGGGAAGAGTTGAGTGCTTTCGTTTTATAGCGGTGATATGCGAGGCTGTGAAAAGGAAAGCAGCCATGAAATACATTTTTGCATAAAGGTTTGAAATTTATTAGAAGGTAAAAATAATTGAAAAAGCTGAGCGTTCCTCGTTGTGTTATAATAAAATGTTATTTATGTCCCAGCGTTGCGCACGTTTAGGACCTTGGGTCCTTTTCCAAAGCCATTCTCAAGGAAACAAGAAGAAAGCTAAGCTAATAAAGCTATCCAGTTGAAAAAGGCTGACATGGGTACACAGCAATTCTGAAACCCTTGGCCATATGAAAACAATTGGTAGTAACAGTAAAACTGCTAGTGTCTGGATTTCATTCGTTAGAGAAGCTCTCTCTTAAACAGCTGCTTCCAAAATAGACTAACCCTGCCCTTGGTAGAAAACAGTGGTAGACTGGCTAAGTAGTACTCATTGATTTGAGTTCCATTAAGAGCTCTACTGTGGGGTTTAAACATTCAGTGTTAATTTTACAATTCACCTGCCGTATACAAAATTGCACAAGCCTTGCTTGACAATTGGAAAGCACTTTGAGATCCTCGGTGCCAAAAGAGAACATGTGAAAGCTTTTGTTACTGTTCGTTTGACTGAAGTACCCTCCTACTTATGAAAGTCTATACCGTAGATTATGTTCCATTTTCTTTCACCCCACAAAAGTGAGCTCTGGGCCTCCGCAAGGTTGCCAGGCAGATCTCCCTATAGACCAATAGACTGTCCCATGCTTTACCAATATTTTTTAGTCTTTTTTTGTTTTGTTTTGTTTTAAGATTTTTGCTATAGGGCGTATGCACTTGCCAGAGAGACAGAAAGTGAGACATTACTCCCCAGGGGTGATGGCCATGCTGCAATTCCTTCTTCCTCATTTTGAGCACGTACCTACCCACACCAAGTGTGTTTCAAGCCACCAGGTCCAGGATTCGAACCACAGTCAACCATGTGGAAGTCCAGCACCTGAACCACTATGCCACCTGATGGCCCTCACAGCCTTCTTGAAACAACTTTATTACACACGATATTCTCTCTCCTTCTGAGATAGACCACAAATTAGCATGGAGAGTTACTGGTGTCCTCAGAGATCACCCTTTTCACTTCAATCTATTCGAGTTAGAGCTTAGAGCTTTGTTTAGGGAGAGGAAGATGGGAAGATTTGGTGACTCATTTGAGACCTTCTCATTTCAGTTCTGGGAATACCTTTGGGGAACTTTGGTAATAACCTATTCCAAAATTCTGATTTTAATGGAGCGTGTCTTCAAATGGATGGCAAAGTGAATCTGCCTCTAGGTTTTCTGTCTCGTTTGCTCGTCAGGAATCCCCATGCTGAAGATCGTGTTTGCGGGCCACGAGCACCTCTCTTTGATATCCGTTCCCTTGCTCATCTATCACCCAGCTCAGATCCTCCTGGGAAGCGTGTTGGTGCCAACGATCAAGTCTTGGATGGTGTCAAGGCAGAAGGTGAGACTCTAGAAAGATCATCTGTAGATCCGAATTAGATCGAAATGAGGTTCCTGAGTGTGAACAGGTCATGCCCTTCAGCTTTCGCTAACTAGTCCTCGTTTTCAAGTACGTGTGTTCTTAACCAGGTACAATAATGGTACGTTGGTACATTCCAATTTGAACAAGAGAGTTGAGGATTAAGTATTTTGAATTGTTATAAAAGACACTTATACTTCAAATACTGCATTTGAAAGTTTTTTTTTTCCCTAGAGGGTGTGTGTGCTCCCCAGAGAGAGAGACAGAGAAAGGAGAAAGCACACCCCCTGCTCCCGTCCTACCATGAGGAATGGCCACGTTGCAATCCCTTCTCCTCCATTTCTCCCTCCTTGTGGGATTTTGGAAATGTGTATACATATACTTGGCATGTTTTTTAAGATGCCAGGTCTGAGATTTGAACCCTGTGGTCACCCATGTGGGATCCAGCTGTGTGAACCACCAAGCCACAGAACCAGCCCTTAAAAACTCTTCTTAATTTGTTTCCAGTAAGGGCATGTTGCATGGAGTAAAGTTTTTCTAAACATACTCGAAACAGGTACCCGCTCTGCCCCAGGGCCCCACCCACTCTTTACACTGTGTCCTGACTTTGTGTGCCTTTCTAAATAGGATAGGACCTGGCTTTATCCAGAATACCGTACTTCATTTTTGTTTTTGTTTTTTTTCTAGACCTATAATAACTTCTATGAATGGCAAGACTATGTTTTGGCTTTAACAATATAAAATTTAAACAGCAAAGGAGTGTTCCTTTAATCACACTTAACTTTAGCATCTCATTCCATGGTAAATCTCTGTGGACTTGATTTCTTGAAGTAGCAACCAAAATAAAGGAAACTAAGTGATTCCCAAGAGGTTGGATGATGATGGGGCCAGCAGGTAGAGTAGTGGTTAAGGCGCTGGACTCCCACCTGGTTGACCACAATTCAAATCCTGGACCTAGTGGCTTGAAACTCATGCCAGGATCATGTATGTGCCTGTCCCAAATCCCTAGGGCAGAATGGAGGAGAAGGGATTGCAGTGTGGCCAGCCACCCTCAGGGGTGATTTCTTACTTTCTCTCCCTCTGTCTCTCCAGTGAGCACACATGCCCTAGAGCAAAAAAAAAAAAGAAAACCTCTCTCTAAAAATAAAGAAGTTGGAATGATACATAAAACACGGTAGCTGTGATGGAGCTGGCCTGGGCTTGGGCTTGTAGGACTTGGTTTTGTCTATAAACGAGGCAGCAACTGTTACCAGATGTGTGGAAAGAAGAGCCATGCAGCAGCAAAGTGCTTGTGCCATGTCCTTATATCCTGAGAAAGAAATAGCTACGGTACCTCCCACTGAGCTCTGTGCATGCTAAGCAGAGCCATCCTGCACCCAGGACAGGGGATGGATTTTTTTTTTTTATTTTTTAAGTTACAAGAGGCATACACACTCGCCAGAGAGAGGCAGAAGGAAAGAGAGAGAGGAAAAGAGGGAAAGCAAAAGCACATCCCGTGAGGGATCGTCACACGGCCTTGACCAGGTTCTGAGTCCCCTACCCAGAGTTGGTGAAGGTACTTTACTACCTTACCTTGTTTTGTTTTGAGAGCTCTTTGGACGCATGCACTCACTGGAGAGACAGAGAGACAGAAGGCAAGAAATAATCCCCCTTTCTCCATTTTCCTGTCAGGATTTAGAGCACACATGCACACATGCCTGGTATGAGTTTTAAGCCACCAGGTCCGGGACTCAAACTGTGGTCAGCTATATGGGAGTCCAGTGATGGAAACATTACACCATCTGCTGGTCCCCATTTTAGTACCTTTCTGTTTCTTCTACTATTGATCCCCTTTGAAAACTTCCATTCTACATTTGTTTATGTTTATCAATGGATCTGTGCATATTTGGTCAGAATTTGTACCTATCAATTTGACAAAGAGTGAAGAAAATTACTTGTCCATCCTGATACTCTTTTCAATAATATGCAGCATAGTAAACACCATATTACTCAGTGATTTCCCCTACTAAATATTTAAGAGCTCTGGAGTTTATACTACAGGGTAACAGGAGTGTTTCCAAAAAGACTCAATTATCTGATGTTCATTTCCCTTTGCACAAAAACCAACTCCAAACCAAGGGTCCATGGCTAATATAGAATAATCCAGAAGGCCTGGAGTATAACCATCACATTTGACTTCTAGAATAAATAAACAGAGTCATCCTCAGGACCTCCATAAAGCACCTCTTCTGCTTTGCAAGCAATCCTGACTGAGACCCAAGGCCGCCAAGTGGTGCCCATGGGACAGGAGGAGTAGCCAGATGAGACTGAGGGAGATGACAGAGTCTGCTGGCCAGGGAAGAGTGCGGGAAAATGTTTGTATCCAGAGGTTTGGATGAGTAGTTCTATAATGCTATCTGGGTGGACCTCTTCTTCCAGCTAATAGCATAAATTCTGTGGTATTAATTTTTTTTTGAGAGGTTTTTGCTGTAGGGCGCGTGTGCTTGCCAGACAGACAGAGAGAGACAGAGAGATAGAAAGCGAGAAATCACCCCCCAGGTGGGATGGCCACGCCGCAATCCCTTGTCCTCCATTCTCCTCTTGGGATCTTGGGCACGCACGCACACACGCCCAGTGTGAGTTTAAGCCACCGGGTCCGGGACTCGAACCGCGGTCAACTACATGGGAGTCCAGCGACATAGCCATTACGCTAACTGCTGGTCCCTGTGGTATTAACCGATCCCCTCCCTCACAGATATTGTCCAACTCCGAACCTGTTTTCCTTTCTCGTAGGGAGTGAAGTTGACGAGGCCAACCGTATAATGAAGGAGGCGACTTCCCGTAGCAGTGTACATATGTACAGGATTGTACAGACCAACAACTCCGAAGACTTGTACTTGTGAATGTTGCTTCGATGCATATTTTATTTTTTTACGGAACTACGATATACCTGTTTAAGTGCCTTAAAATGTAGTTGACAAGAGCATTACTCCCCGAACAGACTTTGTTGGTTATTGCCAGGGGTGGTATCGTCTCTTGGAGTTCGTCCTTTTTTCTAACCCAAGAAAACAGTCGTCGTCAGTGACAAAAAGCAGACACACATCTTGTGCACCCCCTTTGGTGCAATGCAACTCTAGACTAGTTGCTGTAATGTTGGAAATGAGGTCACACCATCAGGAAAATGTCCTTCTGGTGACAGTGAACATTTCCAAAGTCGTATTCACGCGTACTTTGATTTACTGTGTGATTCTTTTTTTTCTACAACTGTGACATGCCTCTTCCCTAGCAACTCAGCAGGGGTCACGGATTGAATAGATGCTGAAAAGCACACGATATCTGCATTCCTTGACATCATTTTTTTAGACATTCCTTCAAATACCTTCCACACAGAAATTCCTCAGCCCCATTACAAGAGATTGTGGTGTTATGTGTCTTAAATTTATTATAAGCTGCTTCAAAGGAAGGGCCTGATGTTTGAGTTATGAGTGAAGTATGTGAAGTTTTGAGGTAAACTACAGGATTTGGTTTTCAGGGTTTCTAAATCATAGAGCTCAATGTGTTTTTTCTTCTTTCTTCCCTCGTTTCTCCCTTTCTTTTTTTCCAGCACACTTGCTCACTCGTAGCAGCCAAAACATGAGACACAGAAACAAGGCGGGCAGTTTGAGAGCAGTGACAATTAATCATGGATTATATTCCACATTCCACAATGGAGACCAAAATTCTTTTCCTGTTACACAGACATGCTGAGCACTTTCCAAATTACCCTCTTCAGCCAGAGCAGCCTGTTACATCCTCGAATTAAACACACTGAATGCATTGAAAACGATTGCCTAATGAGAATTTCCTTGACAGATTTGACAATTGTGTGCAACACGTTTAATAGTGTTTTTTTTTTCTTTTTGCCATAGGATGTAAGTGCTCACCAGAGAGAGAGAGACAGAGAGAGGGAAAGTAAGAGATCATCCCCCGCACACACCCAGAGAGGGGTGGCCTTGCTGCAATCCCTTCTCTTCTAGTCTCCTTTCAGGATTTTAGACACAACACACACTTGCACAGCATGATTTTCAAGCCACCTGGTCTGGGACTCAAACCACGGCTGGCCATCTGGGAGTCCAGCGACTTAACGGCCATACCACCTGCTGGTCTTGTTTGCAACATTAAAAAAAAAAAAAAAACTTATATTGTTCTTATGAATAAGTGAAAAAATAAAGGTCATGGATGTAAATGCATGTTACATATACCCATTCTGTCTAGCCAGATGGGAAGAAAAAGTAGCACAGACAATGCAAAACAATTCATTAACCCAAATGATCAGTAAAACTAGTTCCTATTTGGGCATCAGTTATTAAAGGAGTCTCCAGCATTTGCTTGGACTGTGACTGGATCCAAATGAGAAGAGAGCGATGTGGAGAATTAAGGGACACTTTCTCCGTGTTTCCTGCCCACCATCCTGTCACATCCTCTCTCCATGACTTTCTTGATGTGACAGACAATATCAACACCCTGGGTCTCATCGAGGCCGCGCTAGAGCCTCCGCCACTGTTTTTGTTGTTGTTTACGCACACAACAAAAATAATTTCTTAGAAACTCACCAAGTTTATCCGTGGTGTAAATTTATATTCTTGTTACTACCCAGGTCTCATCTTTTGTTACTTCTGACTCATTTCAATGTCATTGACCCTGATGAATTTCACAAAAGTTATTCTAAGGGTCAAATTTTAAGGTGAGAGCCAGGCCCTGCAAAAAAAAAAAAAAAATCTACACAGACTATAGTTTTCACTGGGATCATGAATTTTACTTGTGTCTAAGACCACAGTAATTTTGCTTGGTAGTTTTGATGCTTATCTACGAAGCATAGAAAGGTTTTTGTATTTTAGTCCTGTAAGCTTCTTTGAATTTTGGAGTAAATGGAAATGTCTTTCAGTCGGTTGATCCGAGCTATTATAAAAATCTTTCTCCTTAGCTTACAATACTGATTTCACCCCCAACTTATCTACCTCTATTGTCTAACACCTATAGTAGGTGTGATTATGGGATAAAATTCAGCTGAAAATGCCATAACACTTTATCTTTTGCTTTAAATAATCTTTACATAGTGGATTTGGGTGGCTTCCGTGCTATGTTTATGCCTATTTCTTTTTTTACACAAATGCTGAGGCATATTTTTCCATAAAGAATAAAAACAATTAAAATATATTTTTAATTCATTCTTATTGGGATTTAATTTTTTAGAGCTTAAAATATTTTACTATGGTTATGTACTGTCAAGCTAGCTGTTTGATGCGTTTGTTTGCTCTAAATGTATTTATGAAAGAAATACATTAGATGATATTTATGTTTACTCAGTTTTCTACCTGATTTTTTTTTAAAATGGTTGTCCTGAAATTTTATTTTTTAATAGCTGATAATGTTGATCTTTTCACATGCTCTGAGTTTCACATTTTTTTGGTGTGGATTTTTTTTATTCTTCTTTCCTATTTTGTTTAAAATTAACACACCTCTGGCTGATGCTCAGTGTTTGCTTATGCTAAATACCAAATTTTTTCAGAAAGGTTGGTTAAGTAATGAAGTGGGTTATTGATGGTGAATGGAAGATGAAAATAATTCTATGATTAAACAAAGAGATGTTTCAGAAATCACAAGAGAAACTGTGGCTTATTCGTAACCGGATTTCAGATGTACTCACAATGCCTCTGGGTGTCTTTAGATGTCTCTTGATTCATTCCAGTGCTGTCTTATCATTAGTGGTTAAGTAGATGTAAACTTCATCGTGTCCCCAGGCATCAATATCAGTACCTCCACCACGCTGTGACGTTAAAATGTAGAAATAGTTCTTACTTTTTTTTGAGAGATGTATTTTCTCTGCATCAGGGTTGAGGACCAAAAAAAAGAAACATACATAGTAGAATGGACAAACTTAGGTGATCTGAATTTTAGCTACCCTGGTCATACTTCTGAGGAATAGGAAAGATGAAACTATGGAACGCCCTGCTCAAACCCAGAGTGTCTTTAGTGAGCAAGTTACCTTGTGTGGGATTTCCTACCCTAATATCCTTGTCCTCACAATCTTCATGGTTTAGAAATCCTCCTCGCCTGGAAGACTAACAGAAATGTCATCTCCTCTATGAGGAGGATTCTCCCATTGATGTGCCGTTAGAACATGTTCCTCGAGATAAGCAGATGCATAGTGGTTACGTCGCAGGACTCTCACATAGGCAACCATGGTTCGAGTCTCAGATCCGGTGGCTAAAACTCACTCTGGGCACATGTGCGTGCATGCCCAAAATCCTAAGAGGAGAATGAAGGAGAAGGGATTGCAGCATGGTCATCCCCCCAGAAGGGTGATTTCTCACTTTCTGTCTCTCTGTCTCTATCTCTCTAGCAAGCACACGTGCCCTGCAGCAAAAACCTCTCTCTCTCTCAAAAAAAAAAAAAGAACTTGTTCCTCAGTTCTAACTATGGAACGCCCTGCTCAAACCCAGAGTGTCTTTAGTGAGCAAGTTACCTTGTGTGGGATTTCCTACCCTAATATCCTTGTCCTCACAATCTTCATGGTTTAGAAATCCTCCTCGCCTGGAAGACTAACAGAAATGTCATCTCCTCTATGAGGAGGATTCTCCCATTGATGTGCCGTTAGAACATGTTCCTCGAGATAAGCAGATGCATAGTGGTTACGTCGCAGGACTCTCACATAGGCAACCATGGTTCGAGTCTCAGATCCGGTGGCTAAAACTCACTCTGGGCACATGTGCGTGCATGCCCAAAATCCTAAGAGGAGAATGAAGGAGAAGGGATTGCAGCATGGTCATCCCCCCAGAAGGGTGATTTCTCACTTTCTGTCTCTCTGTCTCTATCTCTCTAGCAAGCACACGTGCCCTGCAGCAAAAACCTCTCTCTCTCTCAAAAAAAAAAAAAGAACTTGTTCCTCAGTTCTTTCCAAAACTGCATGGCCTAGTCATTAATTTACATTTCTCTCTCCTCCACTGCAGTCCTCATTTCTGTTTTTCTGCTGTGTCTCACTCAGTGCCCGGCTTAGCGGTAGCTAAAAATCTTGTATTGACATTCCAAATTGTGACCTTAATAGGTAGGACAGGAACCCTCAAAATGATGAGAGCTCTTCCCTGCATATAGATGACTGCTAATTTGGGAAGGCTGACTTTCTCACCTCCAGTCCTGTCTGAACAGAACTATGAAACGCTGCCTCGCGCTACTCAGAGAAACGTGTTACTTCACTGCTGTGTAAACATGAACTCTCCGAGGCGAGACTGCAGATGTGATATGCAAACAACTTTCATCTGACTCGCCTTGACAGAACAATAAACCCTCAGTAATTCAGGCTAAATCAGGTTAGGATGATCTGAATTAGTAAATACTGCATATACATAAAAAATAAAGGATTTCCTCACAGAAATTCTGGCATGCTTACTATGAAGACCAGATTAAAATTACAGTTACCACCACCATGGTGATCATGACTGGTTTATACAGACACAATTTACAAAACATCTTATAAGGCTTTATTCTCTTTACCAAATCTGCATTATACTGTAGGACAGTTTTTCTCAAAGGTGAGTAAAACACTAACTCCACCTAAAGAAGAAAATCTCACAGACCCTGGAGGACTTATCTACAGACGTCAGTATAAGAAAGTGTGTTACAAATGCTGTCACTCGGGACCAGCAAATGGCATAATGACTATGTCGCTGGACTCCCACATAGTCGACCACAGTTCAAGTCCTGGACCCAGTGGCTTAAACTCTTAGGCGTGTATGCGTGCCTGCCCAAGATCCCGAGAGGAGAATGGAGGAGAAGGGATTGCGGCATGGCCATCCCCCCTGGGGGG